GCAAACTGTAAGGCTGATTGAGTGCGACATATATTTTATTAATTTCAGAATTTACTAAGTACCAATCATAGTTAAATTAGTTTAAAAACATCTTAGAGTTAAATAGCAATTTTGATTAGATTATGAAAAAGATAGGAATAAAAGAGGCGAGTCGATTTTGTTGATTGTAAAAAGTTCAATAGAATTTACTACGACAATATTTATAAGTATTCGCTACTGTAAACATTTGTCAAAACTATGTTGATTGCCTTCGTTCTGTTCTAACTGCTAAGTGTAAAATCGGGTTGATTTAGTTCTGTCTAGTCTACTGCAATATGTATCTGTTAGGGTTGCCAGATAATTTGTATTCGGGTAGCGTTATTTTGATTTCAAATATACATTTTATTATTTTAACTGAAGCTGAATCTGAGCTGAACTGAAGCTTCAAAATTTTAGTAAGATTTCTTAATATAATACATAATTCATAATGTACTTTATATTTTTTTTAATTAGTTTGCGTGTGTGGCGTATAAAAGCAATACATACACTTGTAAAATAAAGAGAGCAATAATCTATTTTAATGTAAACAAAAGACAAAAGGTTGAATTTTATTTCATGATATTCTGTTGTTATACGTACATAGGGAAATATTTAATTAAGAAAGAAAACGTGTGTGCAGTTCACACGCGGCAGGAGTGAAACCTTCAGAAAACTAAACTTCGAGAGAACGAGACGTAATTAAAACATAAATAAATTTATAATTAACACTGTATACTCTATTCTATCTCATTCTCACGTAGACTAAATCCTATAGATGTATATGTTTGTCTCTTTTTAGTGTCACTTTTTCGTGTCATCGAGTTTCAAATAACAACGATTCTAAAGAAATTTTCACTTCAATATAAAACTAGACCTAAATACAATTTGCATAGATTTACTATCCTTTCTCTGTAAGGTCCGTTTTTCGCTTGTTTGGTAGTATTGGTAACCCTAACTATGTGCTCGACCTCGATGTGGTGTCGTGGGCGGCGCCCTTTCTTGCCCGCCTGCGCACACAACCCGCACACACCTTGTTTTATTTGTGTCGAACATTTTTTTATTCATTTTTTAGTCATTAATAGTAAGACGAGAAAGTTTCAAACTAAAAATATTATATTTCTTAACGAGTTGTCCATACTCATAAAATAGCATACAAACCTTCAACCAGACGAATGATTGCTAAGCAAAACTATGAGAAAGATAGACAAAAGTTAAACCGCTTGGGTGAATCTTGGGTTATGCGAATATAGACTCTATAGTAATAGCACACATTAAATGTGGTAATAGTAAGCAATAATGAGCTAAAGTAAAGAAACCATAGAATACGTACTTCTGGTATCACTAGTAAGTTTCGTTAAATTTTAATGTATGATGTAAATAAGTTCAAAAACTAAATTAAACCAATTATTTATTCTGTGATTTAACTAAGTTTGTATAAAAAGGGTTATTACAATATTAAGAAATTCATGGATGATAATAACCCCTGGGAATGAGGTGATCGGTACCAGGCTATTTCTAAGTTGTTTTGTGTTGTTAATTGTGTAACATACACGATTGTAAGCTGTTATTAAAAAGTGCCGCTGGGTTTCGTTCTTTCCAGGACAGAGGTTTTTTTTCCTAACTTGTGGTAATTAAACATAAGAATGACTTTCAATAAGTGTTTTATTTACAATCTACATTGAATAAAAAAAAATCTGTTTTTGTTTCAATAATATTTTTGCTTTTATTTCCGCTTAAACGGTAAAGATTAATAATAGAATCATATTTCTCTTGTCACGCGATTGGCATTAATAGTTTAAGTAGCAAGATTAGGCGCATATAAAGTCCCGAAACGAGAAAGTGACTGTAGTAGTGCTTGTTGACTTTTCTAATGCTTTTAAGTAAGTCGAGCATGATATCCCCTCGTCTATTCTTTCCCATTAAAGTTCGTACCCTTAATGTGGGATTGATCCGCTTCATATATTCGCGGGCGGCAACAGTCCGCTTATGTGGGACAAAAGGATTCCCCATTCCCCTAGGAAGAAGTCTGTTGAAATTTTTACTTATTTATTTGAAATATTTACTCCTTTAATTTTCTCAGTTTTGCTCAGCAATCCGTTGTCGATAAATTTCATGATGCTATGGGAAAATTAAATCACAACTTAGGTGTAAGAGAATGTACAAAGCGTTTTTAAGTTTTTCTTTATCCAACGAAGTGTTACTCTTGAGAAGCTCGTCAATGTTGACCAAAATTAATTATTCAAATCCTCTTCCTGTCTATTAGTCCAGATCTGTAAACTGGACTGGTACTTAATTGTATTTAACTAAAATTTTTTGCTATCAGTCGTCTGAAGAAATTTCATTAAAGAGTCGCTAATGGGTCCAACAGACCCAGGCCTTAATATATTGCTTAATAAATATTACAATTCGACATTTGCAACGTCGCCGCTCTTAGTACCTTTCAGCGATAGTGTAGCACAGCAAATGACGACATTGGTAGTCAGTTAGTTAAAAAGTGTCAGTAGAATGTTGGAAAGTGTGATTTTACTTTAAAGAAGATATTGTATTTTTGTTATGTTTTATTTTTATTTTCTATGATGATTTATCCCTCTTTATTTCGTTATCACATTATTGTGTAAGAAAACACCGGAGTTTTTGTTTGTTTTTGCAATACGTAATTATAGAAATCATAACGATAAACCTAAAACTTTTCATAAAACTATGGACAAATTTTGTATATTTTTGTAAAAACTATTCTATAAGAAAGATACTAAATATTAGTATTTGGTCCAATAACATTTTTCTTTACTCATATCGAATCCTTATTAGAAAGAAACCATTTACTTTTATAAAGCAGTTTTGGAATTAGCTTATGATATTATACTGGGTCCAGTGGACCCGGTTGCGAGTACATCTGCCACAGATTACTAAATAGTGCATGTGCTACAAATTAGAACGCGAATCCCTAAGTGTTAAGATTAAGCTTACGCTTGTGTAGACTTTTTCTTTTTCTCATTTGGTTATTAAACAAAAATGAATTGTGTGAAGTAAAAACTAGATTAAGCACACACACACACACACACACACACGCACGCACGCACGCACGCACATACATACATACACACATACACACACATATATATATATATATAATATATATATACACACACATAATCTAATTTTTACATGTATAGAAGGAATAATTAACTACAATAAAATAATAAAAGTATGAAATCATTTTAAACGAACTAAAACGTATGTTTGTCTTGCAAACAATATATATTCATAATTATATCTATACAAATAAATAAAATTGAAGTGTCTGTATGTAATGTCAAAATAACAGCTTTTTACCAAATGCACATGAAAGTATATACGGTACATATAACAAAACACTTTTTTTAATGTTGGTCTGTCTGTCTGTTCCTGCTAATCTCCGAAACGGCTGGACCAATTTCGACGGGACTTAGATAGCTGATGTTGTAAGGAGTAACTTAGGGTACTTATAGTTTACGAAAAGAATCAGGGTTCCGCGTAACATACCCTTAAAATCCTAAATTACACGCGGGCGAAGTCGCGGCAGCTAACTGTTTAATAAAATATCTGGACGTAACCATAACTAGTTATGGTTATATTCAGATATGTTATGTATCGATAAATGTTTGTCGCCATTTAATGATTCAGCTTCTGAAGTCATCATTAGTCAATGTATCTTTACAAATTGGTCAAGGCTTACTGTAAAATGTAAGGTAGGTAACGAACGTTACCTATTTAAAGATTTTTCAGACTTTTGTTTATGAAATAAGTTATATTAACCAAGTGCTTGCAAAAATTTTATGAATATTTATTTAATTAATTTGTATTGCACTCCTTATTACAAAAAAAAAAGGAAAAGAAAGGGCGTACGGAATGTTATTAGACATTCACTACCAGTCAACCCATGGAGTGGTGAGAAGTTGACGTAAGTGTAGCGTAGCAATATAAGAAAAAAAAAATGAAAAATTTTAAAATTAATTACGTAATGATTTGTTATACTTACGCGATAACTGTGTAGTACATTGAAATAAAACTAGTTTTTACGGATTTTATAATTAATTATAGGATAGATAATTATTATTAACCGACGTTTCGAGCACTTAATAGCACCCATGGTTACGGGGATACTGAGTTGTTCGAAGTCCCAATGTCATAGTTAACCACGGCTGCCTTCACGTTAAAATTAATAATTTTTGTTCCGATCTACGCAGTATGAACTATGAACTTACAGTACCTATCTTGAAGCGCGATAAAATCCGTAAAAACTAGTTTTATTTGAATTAATTCCGACGACAACACTATTCATTTGTAACGTTTACTAATACAATCGGCTTAGGTAGTAAACATCATGATTTGATTTTTGTGGTTGGGTTAGGTCTTGGCCTAGAGGGTATGAGAATGTCCTAGCTTTTTATTAGTTGCCTTTTAAATCATCCATCATGGGACGAGATAGTGATTAACTGTACCACACGTCAAATTACTATTATTTAACCTCATTATAAACCACATCTTGCTCAAATAGTAACTTGCATGTAAAACATACTTGAAAAATTATAATAGTCAGACCGTGTACATACAATAATATCTTTATGTATGAAATTACGTGTCATTGTTTGTCCGCGATGAAGTCTCTAAACTACTGAATTGATTTCAATGAAATTTTGCACAATGTATGTAGTTTGGTCCAACTTGAAGATAGAATAGATTTATCCCGATTTAAGTGACATTTAATATTTTTTATCGCGAATTTAAGTATTTTTTTATAGGAAGGATCGTCGAAAAGGGTAGAACGTCTGCCTGGTAGCTATAGTGTGGTATGTAGGTATATATATATATATAACACATTCACTTATTATCTCCAAGTTTTTAATACTCTATCAGACTTGAAGGCTTTACGTTAAAATAGTTTTTCTTACTTTGAAGCAAGGTTCAACTGTTAAATTGTTTTATTATTATGGTTGTTACAGAAAAACTTCATTTAATAGAAAACGAACCGAAATGCTTGTACAACGATCAAGCCTTTTACTATGTGTGTGGGCAGGCCTGTTGGCCACATGTTGGGCACAACGTGCGGAACAACTACTCGCTCAGAATCCGTGTTCGAGCAAGACCACTTGCAGCGATTGTATTCGAACTGCCAGCTGTGCTTGGTGCTTCGCCCCCGAGTTCAATGGACCGCGGTGTTTCAACCCCGCCATGGAAGGCGGGACGGGCGGTTGCGACGAAGCTTATATTTTCAACCCAGATAACCAACGTTCTATTGATCCAATGTTTAACAAAGAACTGACTAGAGGTAAGCAATGCCTGCTAAATATTCTGCTTTAAATTTCTATAACACTCCGTTAGCTTTGACCGTGGAATGAAATAGGGCACGCTATTGCCGAGAAAGAAAACATGAATTTATGAATGTACTATTAAAACGGGATGGTATTCGCTTTATCTCACAATTCAGTTCTCATTTTAGATATTTTAAACTTACTGCCAGTTCTATTTTTTTGTTTTGAATAAATGGCATTTGTTAATTTGAATGTAAATTTTGACCAGGTATTCATAATCAACGTCCAATGAGATTGGTTACGTGATGATTATGTTATTTTTTCATGAAATATTACGTGACATGAAAAATATCACCAATCTACTTAATGTAAAGTATAATAATAGTACAGTGTACACACACTCGCAAACACAGACATTCTTTTATAAGAATTAACTTTATGAACCTCAAAACTTGGAAATTGTGTGGTGTATTTTGGTCTTTTGAATATTGGACCCATTAAAGCGATTTCCAAATGGCAAGTATTAATATGATGTGAGTTAAAAGCAAAGTTGCGATTCTACGTAAATGTAGGTCACAAGAGTGCTTGAAATGCGTAGAGGTCATTAGACGCACTGTTTCATTTGAAACACGTATCAGTTTCATATATTTGTAGTATAGTTCATTGATTTTCATGAGTATTTCTCTAGTAGAGAATTGGTTGTAAACTTCTCAATTATTTTAACAGCACGGGGCCGCATGGGTATGGGCATGGAATCGTCGTTCTATGAGGAATCTTTTAGCAGCAGCAGTACTAGTTTTAAGGGAGGGAGCGGCTATAACATGGCTGGCGGAGGTGCCGCTTTTGGAGAAAATTTAGTCCAAATAAAGCCACAGAGAGTAAAAATGCAATTAAGAATGAGTAAGTAAAACATTGATAGTCATTTTGTCTTGTTAAAGCCGTCTGGTTTTCTAACGATGATTTATTTTTTAGATCAAATGCAAAAGATGACGTTCTCATACGCCCAAGCTCAGGACTATCCAGTAGATCTTTACTATCTTATGGACCTTAGCAGGTCTATGAAAAATGACAAGGACAAGCTGAGTTCACTTGGTAGCTTACTCTCAAGTACAATGAGGAACATCACTTCGAACTTCAGAATCGGTTTTGGTTCGTTTGTCGACAAACTCGTCATGCCCTACGTGTCTACTGTACCGAAAAAGTAAGTAGCTATATGATTAAAAAAATATAAAAAGTGGTCTGCAAAGTGACGAACTTACCAGGGAGTAGCTTTAATAATACACCGTGTTTTGTGGTAGTATGCGACAAAAAACCTTGTGAATGTACTAATATTTGTAGAGGACCATTACAACAGGAGAAATTAATTTCTTTTGCGTTCCTCTAAATTTGTCCATGAGTATACTTTTGATTTACTAATGAGAATTTGGTAAGTCACTGCGTTTGGCGTAATACTGCTTCTAAATACTGGACTGTGCTTGTGAGGATATTTTTGAATGGATATATTGCCATTTTTGTAGTGTTATAGATTTATAATGTCAAAGCAACACTAGTTGTTGTCTCTAGTTTTTGAAGACCAAACCCAGTAGTGGACAAAATTGATACTGAGCAAGTAAAGCTTACAATTAATAGTAAAAATAACTTTAAAACATTCACTACTGGTGAAAAGGTGATGGTGAGAGATCATAGAAAGAATAAAAATAAGTGGTCTTTGGGTAAAATTGTTGAAGTTTTAATACCGGGTGTAACTTATATGGTAGTAGTGGATGGACTTTATTGGAAACGACATGTCGATCAATTACTTGAATGTGGACAGACTATAGAATAAAAAAAATTAGTGGTTTATTTAGGTTATTACATTATACTGAAATATTAATAAGTAGCATAAAAAGTTTTTTTTCTATGTGGGGGGAGAGTGTTATAGATTTATAATGTCAAAGGCAACATTAGTTGTTGTCTCTAGTTTTTGTTTATGGTTGTATTAATTAATTACTTTTCCCGTGTCTAAAGTAAGATATAACATGTAGTTTGCTAGGACCATCCTTGGTTACCAGAATGCACATGCAACTTCCACCCCACCAACTCTACTTGGATATATGTGTAACGTCATTTTGTGCATTGCTTCTTACAATTGTAAGTGTTTGTATTCTACAAAAATAGACAATTTTCTGATTCCTTCAGATTTCGTTAATGAACTCTTTAATTGTTTACCACCTAATAGGTACCTAATAATTTAATATTCAATGATATTCTAAACAATTTTAATAATGACACTATGATACAATATATGGTTTTAATTCCTTACAGTGGATCTGTCGTTAACCCACATGCTCTAAGCGCCCGGCAACCTATGATAGTATCCATTAAATAGGAAGAAGGGAATAAACAAAGAATGCTATTCTACACTAAAAAGAAGCATATATATCTAACTAGTCTATCTAACTAACAAAGTTGTTTTTTTTATTACTAGAACCATTTCATAATCAGCCACGCACAATGTGCGTTTTTACAGCTTTTGTTTACATTTATGTAATTGTTTGAGACGTTATCATCAAAATTACGAGATCACTGCCTTATTTTCGTAACCAATGTATGTCATAAAGAGCAAACTCCTTTAGCTTGGAAGCTACTTGGACGTCTTGAATTTGTTAAGATAGTTTGGTTATAATAGAATATAATACTGTGTCGGTTAGGAATGAGAGGGAGGGAGCTTCAAATAAATTCCAGAAAAATCCAACTTCACCTGCACGCGGTGCAGCCTGACTGCCAGGTATGCTATGCATACTTGTTGCATCATGTTTTAATAGGCTTATATTCAGCAGCGGGCCTAAAGACTTAAGAAGACGATCATTATTTTTATGTTTTAACACCAAGTAACAATCATTATCATCATCATCATTATTACAGCCCCCCTAAAGTCCACATCTGAGCAAGCGCCCCACCCAAGTAATGCCATGAAATACACAGTTTCTGAGTCACCTGCGTCTATCGACATCCTGCCTGTCCGGACCTGCCTTTAATCGGGCGCTACACTTTGGTTGCCTCTAAAGCTAAACTACCGCGGCCTTAACAACGTGGTAAAGTCATGGTGCAGCTATATTGTGGTTGTAGCGCTCACGCAAAATACCATCAGGAGAACTGTTTTTTTTTATAGGATAGAGTGACGAACGAGCACACAGTCCACCTGGTGACAAGTGGTTGCTGTGATCCATAGACATCTACAATCCTGAGTAAAAAATCAAAATGCAGATGCTTCGTCACCCGTGAGGACTATGATAGAAAGCCTATTTTCCAGTAAAATGGGTCTCTGGTTCTCTACATTCACCATACGAAACACAGCAGCGTCAAGCTGCCATTTTACGCTGGTATTCTGTGAGAGCGTGGTCCTTTCCCGGTTGAGCCGACCCATTCATGCTACAACTATATACTACTAATATAGCTGCAGCATGCGTCTACCACGTTTGTCACCCTTATTCTATAAATAAATACATGTGAATGCTGTGCTCTATTCACACTCATATCTATTATCGTTTGAGAATCAAAATTTAAAATTCTAGTAATATGGTCAACGGTTTTTCCCTCATCATACGAAACACAACAGCATTAAGCTTCTGTTTAACGTTGGTAATTTGTGCACGCGTAGTTCTTTCACAGTGAAGCTAAACTAGTCGTGCTACATCCATAATACACCGGCAGCGTGACTGTACCCAGTAAAATTTACTTTAGTTGATGTCCTGCATTATTCGTGCTAAATTGAAAATATTTATTTTTATTTAATTTTTTCCAATATTTATTTTTCATGAAGGTTTATATAAAAATAATTTGATTGTTTCAGTTTGATTTCACCGTGCGACGGCTGTGCGGCACCTTATGGTTTTAAGAATCAAATGTCGCTTAGCAATGATACAAATTTCTTCGATGTAAGCGCAACTTTATTTTAAATATTTTCTATTAATTACAGTACTTATCTGATTACAAAATCTTTTTAATTTTCATTACACTTACGATTACGGTAAGATCAGTTATTTACAGATCACATAGTTACCTTTATATTAATGTGACAACAGAAAGCAGTGGCAGGCGCGGACGTGTCGGGTAATTTAGACGCACCGGAAGGTGGTTTCGACGCCATAATGCAGGCGATTGTATGTCAACGAGAAATCGGTTGGCGCGAAAAAGCCCGTCGACTGCTCGTGTTCTCCACTGACGCGGGCTTCCATTACGCCGGTGATGGGAAGGTAACGATCTTCATTTGTTATGTCAGGTGGAAATGATTTTCTAAAACTGCGTTGCTCATCAGTGAGCATACCAGTTATGTGAGTAATGAGTTAATACGAATTTCGACTAAACTTTGTCGTGTAATTGACAAATAATTAGGCTTTTCGAGAATAAGCAGTTTTCTTCTGCGAGACAGGCCGCCGTGACCGAAATTCGAAAGAAGTTGAAGAGAACTGGGGGTAACTTCTATATTATGAATAAACTTCATAAAGTTGTTAACGAGGGTATTCGCACTCGATATTAAAAACAGGTTCAAAGTACGAAAACAATAAATATCTGTTAATTTTGTCAACATTTCGGCACTTTATTAACTAGCGTTATTTAGCTAATTTAATAGATCATTTATAAGGGGACCTGCGACTGGTAAATTTTTTTTTGTCTATGTCTTATACATTTTCTATTTTTCAGCTTGGTGGTATCGTACAACCTAACGATGGAGAATGCCACATGGAGAACAATTCATACACACACTCAACCATACAAGATTATCCCAGTATTTCTCAAATTAATCTCAAGGTATGGGAACTGATTGAACAGTCTGAAATGTCAGAGTAAAAAGTTTTAAGTGCTTTTGTAAATTGATTTTTTTTTATCTTGGACCATTATTTCACTATCTCACCTTATGGTAAGAGGTGATAATATAGCCCTAGATAATAAAGTGCACTGCTAAGCTTTACAAAAGGACTTACAATATACGCAACGCCTTGCATTGAAGACATCTATGTCATAAAAGCCTAAATATAAAAATAACGTAAACTAATTCCTAGTCAAATTGGATGTTATTGAAGTAATATTCTACGAAAAGAGATTTATTAAAGGTTTGGTTTTTACTTTAAAATCGTAACAATTTGGAACACGGCACATGAATATGAAACTCACATCACTTTGTTCTGAAATTGATTTACTTATGTCACTTTTTCTTTGTGGAATTCCTTTAAGTATGGTAATAATTGATTGTTCTTTGTTATTTAGGTGAAGGAGCATGCTATTAATGTAATTTTCGCTGTAACAGCAGAACAGATAAGTGTTTACGAACAGCTCAGTAAGCACATCCAGGGATCAAGCAGCGGTATTCTGAGCGAAGACTCCGATAATGTGGTGGATCTTGTACGGGAACAGTATAATGTGAGTTGTGTTGCTTACTTATCCTTTATTTGTATATCTCCAAAAATATTCACTGTATGCGGCATTTAAATTTTAAACTATTTATTACTTTGAAAACAAACTGAAGTTGGTTAAGTTGTAAGTTTTTCATTACTAATAAACATCCTGCCTTAAAGCCAAATAAATAAAATTCTGAAAATCTTATTGTTACACTATTCTTATATGTAAATATGGAGGTTATTGATCAGGATTTCGGTATTTTCTTAGTTTCGTAATATTTTGATGCTAAAGATGTGTTAGTTAATAGTGACAAACAAACTAACACTCCATCTGATGATAAATGGCTACTGTAGCATATAATATCTTGCAACCGACAACAAAAAAGTCTACAGATGCGTTTATAATACAACAGTAGATGCACTGCTGTTTAGCGGTAGAATATGTAACAGGTTATTATGTCGTAAACAATATGTTTTTTTTTCCAAAAAATTTGCTATCGGTGGCAGCTGTGGCAAAATCGCCCATACAATAATTCATATGGAAGGCCTGTGTTTAGCAGTGGACTTTGATGGATGTAATGAATGAATTAAAGATCTACTTTGTTATATTGATTAATATTTTTAATATTCTCCTTGCAGAAAATAACGTCGACTGTGGAGATGAAACATACATCTAGTGATAATGTGCAGCTTGCGTATTACTCATCCTGTCTAGGGAGCAAGGACAACGTCATACAGACCAACAAGTGTGATGGTTTGAAGGTTCGTATAATTTATATGTCGCGTGTTAATAATTAAAAAAAAAAAACTGAACTGAGTTAGAAAATGAGTATCAAATCTTTAATAAATTTGTCTGTAGCATTTAGACAGTAAATGTTTAGGGAGATTAATGTTGTAGTAATTGACTTTCTTTGGTGTATATCTTCATGTTCTATAGTAGCTGTACCCGGCAAAGCATTGTTGAAGCTCAAATATTTTTTCAAATAATAATATGTTACAACACGCGCGTATTCGAATGCAACGTTGTGTCAAAATTTCAAAGCAATCGGTGAAGAACTCTCGGAGATTTAAGATTTTGGAAAAAAGCGAAAATTACTGTTCAAAATAATTCTAATTAACACAAACTTAACCAAAGTATATTTACATTTTTATTTATATCGATAATCTTCACTGTAGCTGCGACTGCTACTGGTTGTATAACTTCTGAGTGACTTGACCGATTAAGGCCAACACACGATAGGTTATTAACAAATTCGATAGTTTATAGACCAAAATGGACATGACATTCCCAATGTAATTGTTGATTCATTGCCAAAAAAATTGCTGTAGTCGAGTTATTAATAAACTAGCTGTTCCCTGCGACTTCGCCCGCGTGTTATTTAGGGTTTTAAGTTTTTTTGCGCGATACCATAATTATTTTTCAAAAATTAGAGTAACCTAAGTTACTCCTTATAACATCAGCTATCTAACAGTGAGTCTCATCAAAATCGGTCCAGCCATTTCAGAGATTGGCCGGAACAAACGGACAGACAGACAGAAAAATTTAACTTTAAAAATTGTGTTTTTGTTATATGTACCGTATATACCTTCATATGCATTTAGTAAAAAGCTCTTATTTTGACATTACAAACAAACACTTCAATTTTATTTATTTGTATAGGGTATAGATTTTATATTAACACTAAAAAATTCAGAGTGGATTTGGAGTGAAACTCATTGTCGGAAAGGGCTCAATAACGTCTGTCTGTCCAGTTAGTTTTAATATATGAGCCAATAGAATTTATTTATTGTGATCTACTGGTTATAAGTAATTTGGGGACGGAGGGTAAAAATAATCGAGAATTTGGTTTATAAATCTAATGAAACAAAAATAAAAAATAGGTTTTTTGTGGCCATTTTGGTCACCATGATTTATGATAGTCTTTTTGACACAATGCGCAATTTGCTTTATAATAATTTTTCTTTGCCTGAGCTGACCAACGAATAATTTATCGTCCATGCATTGGAAACACTGCATATTCGTTTATGTGCGTTTTTACCGTAAATCAGAATTTGTTGAACGATTAGTTCCAATTCCAATACATTTACGTGATTTTTATAAATTCGATTTATTTCAAAACCGATTTTTGATAGTCGGTGGTTGTTCGTTATGGCATGGCATAGTTTAGCGGGGCACATCAATATCGTAAGTGGGCGGTACCCATCCATGAAGTAAAACTATGTATGACAGATAAAAAATCCGATACTTCATAGGCGTGAGCTGTCATACGCACCATGCTACAATGCAAAAGTTTATACTTTTTTTAGGAAAAATTCTCTTGAAAAATTCTAATACATACATACATAAACACTCACGCCTGTCACCCAGAGGGGTAGGCAGAGATTATGGACTTCCATTTGGCACGATCCTGACACACCTCTCTCGCTTCCTCCACATCCATATACCTACGCATACACGCTCGTCGGTTAAAGGTACTCTTGATTTGGCCCATTTTTAATATATCGCCAATTTGGTCGATAAACTTTCGCCTAGGGCGACCCTTCCCGACTATGCCGTTCACCTCTGCAACATGAATTTGCTTTGTCACTCTTTCCTCATTCATTCTTTCTACATGGCCAAACCACCGAAGCATTCCTTTCTTAATCCTGGTCACAACATCATCTTGCAAACCACACACTTCTCTTATTAAACAATTTCTCACTCTGTCATTCAGCTTCATCCCTAACATACTCCTTAATGACCGCATTTCTACAGCATTTATTCTACTCTGATGCTTCTTCTGCCACACCCAACTTTCACTACCATACATTAAAGTAGGTACTAACACAGCATTGTGAATTGCCATACGTGCCTTTTTGGACACATTCTGACTTTTCACAATAGAGTGTAGAGCCCCATTCACTCTATTTCCTGCATTCACTCGTCGTTCTATATCCTTATCATATCTACCATCCCTGCTAAACACACATCCCAAATATACAAACTCATCTACTTGCTATACCAACTCCCCTTCTATTCTTATTAAAAATTCTACTTAATATGAAAATGCTTAATTATCTAAAATTACGATTATATTATATTTATTATAAATAATGATGCTATAGGTCGGCCGTTCAGAGAATGCGTTCCTGACACGTCGTGATTGAACTGACGACGTAACTTTGTAATGGCGTTGCAGTTACGATAAAAATATTTTTGCTGGTTGTTTACCGTTTTAACAATTGATGAATATTAAAACAACATTATTATATCAATAATCAATGAATGTTATAATTTTGTGCCAAACTGAGTGTCAAATAACTTGGTAAACAATATTTTTCTAAATCTATACTGCGCTATTACAAGGTTATGTCAGCGCTTTATATTTGTAGTGCTGTGCTAACAATAACAGGCAATAACAGTATCGTAATCTGTTCTTATACAGTTACACTTTATAAAATAATACGTTTTGCTTTTCTTTTTAAGAATTTGAAAATAATGGACTATAAGATAACTTTTATTAAATATAAAAATAAAACTACGACCAAACCGAACGCGCGAAAGAAAGTAGCATTTTTATATTTAGGTTGAAAATGGTAACCCCAAATGGCGTTATGGGCCGCCATTTTGTGACGCTAAAACAGTCGTCTGTTGTCGTTTCGTGCCCATAGACCATGTTCTTCAAGTGTTTTCGATCTGTTTTTATTTGATTACCCGGCTTTCGTTTAATGGACTGTTTCTGCTTTTCAAACTGACATCGGCGCTAAATCGGATTTCGATTGTGTTTTGTATTGCGTTCTTTTTACTTTTGGTGCATAATAATGCCTAAACGTGGACAAACATTGAAAAGTGGAGCCCGTGAGTTAATCATCAAGCTGCAAGATTACTTTGAGCGGGAGCGGCAAAATGGCGGACCCCTGTTACCTGTCGAACAAGTACAAGAACGCGTCTCTCAGGCGCTTGGAGTTAGCAAACGAACGATAACAAATATTAATAAAGAAAAGTTCGGCTCTACTGGCACGGTAGATAATATTTTCGTACTCCGAAGAAGAAACGTAGAACTAAACCCGTGACAGATATTGACACCTTTGACGCCGATGCAATCAGAAATCATACATATGGTTACTATTCCAGAAATGAATATCTCAACAGGAAGAAGCTTTTGGCATCGTTAAGAGAAGCTGGACTGTTTAGCGGGGGTAAAACTGCTTTAACCAAAATCTTAAAAGATATTGGTTTTTCGTATAAAAACAGACAAAAGAAAAATTTTATTAGAACGATACGACATAATTTTAAAACGGATAAGTTTTTTGAGAGAAGCAAAAAATATTGATAACTGGGATAATGTCGTGTTCATTGACGAGACATGGCTAAACGCCAATCACACGGTTTCCCGTTCTTGGACGGATGATACACAAGCGTCGACGTCGAAAGTACCAATGGGTAAGGGGGCCCGTCTGATAATATGCCACGCAGGTTCTGCAAAATACGGCTTTGTGGAGAACGCGTTACTGACATTTCAATCAAAAACCACAAATGACTACCACGAGGAAATGAATGCCACTACATTTAAAGAGTGGTTCCAGAACGTGCTTTTGCTCAGCCTACCAGAGCCTTCTGTAATATTCATGGATAATGCCTCCTATCACTCGGTTCAAATACGGAAACCACCTACCCAAGCTAATAAAAAAGAAGAAATGGTGGCTTGGTTACAAGCAAAAGGCATTGACGCAAATATGCAGATGCTAAAACCAGAGCTAATTAAATTAGTTAAAGAAAATAAAGCGGCAAATGTGCGATACGAAATCGATGAACTGGCTCTGGAGTATGGTCATCGCGTTCTAAGAATTCCACCGTATCATTGCCAATATAACGCGATTGAGCTAATCTGGGCTCAAATAAAAGGTTACGCCGCCCGCCACAATACTTCCCCGCCATTCAGAACGAAAAAGATGATGACCCTATTAAAAGAAGCCTGCGAGGAAGTCACAAGAGATGACTGGGCAAAGGTTGTTGAGAAGACTAAAAACCTGATTGTGGAACATTTTGACCGAGATATCAGGATTGAATCTGTTATTGATAATAATATAATTATACATGTAGACGAAGATGATGATGAAGACACCACCTCCTCAAGCGAATCGGAGTCTGATTAATATTCTGTACGCACATTCAATTCAATGTACTTTATTGCATAGAAATACAGATTGTAACTTTGTAACAATGAATAAATAAAACAATTTTATTATATTAATATTACCTTTTTTTTTTGCTTTCCACTTAAATTACTAAAATATAAATTTTAAATGATTCCGCCAATTTTAAACGAAAATAATCTTAAAAATAATGCGGCGGTTCATTTTGGAGGAACGGTAACGAACTCAGTGTTATGTTGTGCCCATCACTAGTCATGACTAACTGATAGGTGTCAGGAACGCATTCTCTGAACGGCCGAACTTTAATAAGCGACTTGCGTCACGTTCACTCTGATGTATATTAATAAAACGCTTACTAAAATTGTAATTTTACTGATGTTTTATTTTTTAGGTGGGCGATGTCGTCGAGTTTACAGCTGAAATAACTTTAAAAGAGTGTCCTAAAGACCCTAGCAAGTGGAAGGAAACTTTTACCATTTATCCTGTTGGTATGTCGGAGAGCCTGACAGTTGAGTTAGAGATGCTGTGCGACTGCCCCTGTGAACATCCAGGACATCATGTAGGTTTATTATTTGAGCCTTATTGGATTTTTAAATACATTGAAATAGAAAACAAACTGAGTATGCTAATCATTTCAAAACATTTACTTTCAATTAAACTTCATTAAAGTATATTTTTAAGATCAAAATTTTATACTATGTAATATGTCTATAGCATGCTCAGTGACTTTGAGCGTCCTCATCAATTTTGACAGTTTGACATTTTTTAAACATTAATTTACTAATTAATATGTAAGTCTAGGAGTCATGAAGAGAGATGACTCTACCGCTGCGAGTGAGATGTGTGTGTGTGTGTGCGGCAGGCGTACAGCGACAGCCCGCTGGTGTGCAGCGGGCAGGGCACGTGGGCGTGCGGCGTGTGCGTGTGCGGCGCGGGCCGCTTCGGCAAGCGCTGCGAGTGAGATGTGTGTGTGTGTGTGCGGCAGGCGTACAGCGACAGCCCGCTGGTGTGCAGCGGGCAGGGCACGTGGGCGTGCGGCGTGTGCGTGTGCGGCGCGGGCCGCTTCGGCAAGCGCTGCGAGTGAGATGTGTGTGTGTGTGTGCGGCAGGCGTACAGCGACAGCCCGCTGGTGTGCAGCGGGCAGGGCACGTGGGCGTGCGGCGTGTGCGTGTGCGGCGCGGGCCGCTTCGGCAAGCGCTGCGAGTGAGATGTGTGTGTGTGTGTGCGGCAGGCGTACAGCGACAGCCCGCTGGTGTGCAGCGGGCAGGGCACGTGGGCGTGCGGCGTGTGCGTGTGCGGCGCGGGCCGCTTCGGCAAGCGCTGCGAGTGAGATGTGTGTGTGTGTGTGCGGTAGGCGTACAGCGACAGCCCGCTGGTGTGCAGCGGGCAGGGCACGTGGGCGTGCGGCGTGTGCGTGTGCGGCGCGGGCCGCTTCGGCAAGCGCTGCGAGTGAGATGTGTGTGTGTGTGTGCGGCAGGCGTACAGCGACAGCCCGCTGGTGTGCAGCGGGCAGGGCACGTGGGCGTGCGGCGTGTGCGTGTGCGGCGCGGGCCGCTTCGGCAAGCGCTGCGAGTGAGATGTGTGTGTGTGTGTGCGGCAGGCGTACAGCGACAGCCCGCTGGTGTGCAGCGGGCAGGGCACGTGGGCGTGCGGCGTGTGCGTGTGCGGCGCGGGCCGCTTCGGCAAGCGCTGCGAGTGAGATGTGTGTGTGTGTGTGCGGCAGGCGTACAGCGACAGCCCGCTGGTGTGCAGCGGGCAGGGCACGTGGGCGTGCGGCGTGTGCGTGTGCGGCGCGGGCCGCTTCGGCAAGCGCTGCGAGTGAGATGTGTGTGTGTGTGTGCGGCAGGCGTACAGCGACAGCCCGCTGGTGTGCAGCGGGCAGGGCACGTGGGCGTGCGGCGTGTGCGTGTGCGGCGCGGGCCGCTTCGGCAAGCGCTGCGAGTGAGATGTGTGTGTGTGTGTGCGGTAGGCGTACAGCGACAGCCCGCTGGTGTGCAGCGGGCAGGGCACGTGGGCGTGCGGCGTGTGCGTGTGCGGCGCGGGCCGCTTCGGCAAGCGCTGCGAGTGAGATGTGTGTGTGTGTGTGCGGCAGGCGTACAGCGACAGCCCGCTGGTGTGCAGCGGGCAGGGCACGTGGGCGTGCGGCGTGTGCGTGTGCGGCGCGGGCCGCTTCGGCAAGCGCTGCGAGTGAGATGTGTGTGTGTGTGTGCGGTAGGCGTACAGCGACAGCCCGCTGGTGTGCAGCGGGCAGGGCACGTGGGCGTGCGGCGTGTGCGTGTGCGGCGCGGGCCGCTTCGGCAAGCGCTGCGAGTGCTCGGCGCAGGGCGGCGCGTCGCTGGAGCAGGAGCGCGGCTGCCGGCCCGCCAACGCCTCCAGCGGCCCGCTCTGCTCCAACCGCGGCGCCTGCATCTGCGGCGTCTGCGAGTGCAACAAGCTCGACGACCCACTCAAGGTGCGCCCTAACACACCGTGCTTTTTGTCGTATTTCGTGCAATCCTTAACGATACAACTTGCTATTTTGCTTCAAAAAGGAGACTGTACTCAATTCAACTGTATGTTTTTTTATGTGTGTTACCTCATAACTCTTTACTGGGTGAACCGATTTCGATGATTCTGTTTTATTTGAAAGCTGGTACTTCTCGTGTGGTCCCATATGAATTTGATCAAGGTCAGACCAATAGTTTTTGAGTTATTCCCTTCCTCACGCAGTAATATTATATAAGTCAATCGCTACAGCAGTATTTTTTGTATGAAGTTAAGTAATTCTGAAAAAGAAATTCTGAGACCTGTGAAGTTCGCCAACACGCGTTGGGGCAGCACGGCGGATATTTCCTTGCAATCAGAAATGAGAGGAGGCATGTGCTCAGCAGTGGAACGTATATTTATAGGCCGTAACTTTAACTTTTAAATTGTTGATAACCCTATAATTTACAATTAAAATAAAGATTTGTGTACATAAGTTAACATATATATTTTTCATTTTAATAGGTTATATCTGGTCCCTTTTGCGAGTGCGACAACTTCACGTGCGACATGAACAAGGGTAAATTATGTTCCGGCCCAGAAAACGGCGAGTGCGTCTGTGGAAAGTGTAGTTGCAAACCTGGATATACTGGGCCCGCTTGTCAATGTTTGATGGACGAATCGCCGTGTCGTGCATCCAGTACGTAAATAATCCAGTTGTTAAAAGTACTATAAAATATGACATTTAGTCTGGACAACATATGAAGAGACTTTGGTCAAATGTTGAACCATAAACATCTACTACAAATATTATTCTTCATATTTATAAAAAAAAATTACATATAACTGTTTTGAATATAAATTATTTATTTTGATACAGATGGAAAAATCTGCAGTGGGCACGGAAAATGCGTGTGTGGCCAGTGTGTCTGTGATGTTGAGGAGGATCGCCACTACTCTGGAATGTATTGCGAAAAGAGCCCCGTAAGTATACATATTGTTACGTTTTGGTCTTTATGTATATAATACGTATTGAAAACAATTACATTTATTTAAATTAAAATTTCAAAAATAACTTTTGTGAAATTATTTATAATATAAAATAAGTATTTTTTTAGAACTTTTCTAGAGTGTTATAATAAATATAGCGTTTTTAGACTTAAGATGTTTTTAAAGTATGGATACGTCATGCTCGCTCTAAAATGGCAATACGAAAGTCAGGTAATTGCCCGACTCGCATTCAGTCGGGCACGCTCTCGCGTCGCGGCTATACCTTCGCTACAGCGCGTAAATCTTCTACTTATTCGTGGTAAAAATGCCTTCCTGTGTTTTTAGGTGGTGCACAAATCACACGGCAACTGTTAGAGACAAGAAAAACGTCTCATTAATATTTTGAATAAAGATGTTTTGTTCATAATTGGTTTATTGTTTCAACACTAACCTCTAGTGTAAACTTTGAGGCTAGCTAGTGTGTTCATTTTCATATCGGTATGTCACACGCTCGCGCCAATGAGCGCTCAGCAGCAATCAATACGCAACTAATGATGTATCTTCATCTTTTTCTAACGATAGGTATGCCGTATCATTTGTCTCATTTTGTTAGCGCAACGTGTCATAATAAATAACTGTATAGTACTAGTAGATATAGTACTACCTGCGCCACTTTAAAATACAATAATGTTAGTGTGTAACCTATCTTTTTTAATATGTCTTTGTTTTAGACGATGGATGTTAATCTTTTCTTATTTTGTCGTAAAGCACTATTTGAAATTTTCTTTTAAATTTAAAAAAGAAACCTTTTTTCATTTAATGCAATAGGATGGACATGTTTGTATAATAATGATAAAAATGATTTCTACCATCCATTCTTTGAACACAACAATTTGGTTACATATTGATAATTCGATTATTATTCTTTTTTCACACACAAAGGCGTATAACTTTAATATAAAATATTTTTAAGGCTTTACCTGGAAAATGCATGGATTTCCAAGAATGCGTTCTTTGTCAAGTGCACAAGCGTGGTCGACTTTACAATCCCGATGAGCCAAAGGAATGCGGAAAATGCGACTTGCAACCTGTTATTGAAGAGGGCAAAATTGAAGGTATACCTAAAAGATTCGACGATGATTTTACAAATTTTTCTTGTTCCATGGTTTAATTTATAATTATGTGTGTTGGATACATAAAATTCATTAAATTATGTAAATAAAAGCGTTTGAAAATGTTATATGTTACTGTTATAATTTTACATAAACTAGTTACAATATTGTTGCGCGCCACTATTAATGTCTTGTACATGTTAACACTAGTTACGACCCGCGCCCTCTAGTGTCGAGTAGCAGAACTAGGAGAGACAAGATCCTTCTAGAAATTTCGGGACCGATATGTACTCGAACATTCTAGATGTTTCTACAGTAGAAGGTTCTGGAAACTATGTGAGGCCCTATATAAGGCCAGTATAGACCACGACGGAGGGAGTATTGAATTGGCGATACAAGAGAATACTTTGAAGCGAAATAACTGCGAACTAAAGTGATCAGTAGTACAATTACGTTTTATTATTAGTGTGGTTTTAAGTTTAATTAGTGTTCTGTAATTAGTGTCAATTTTGGTAATTCGGCAGTTTTTAATTGTCTCGAACTCTAAGCTCGTAACCAATATTATTTACTCATATTATCAATAAAATATATTTCTGTTATTGTATTTTTCATTTATATACAATTAAAGTACTATTTTGTTTGCAGTTAATGAAACTTTGTACGAACATCTGTGCAATTTCTACGACGACGATGATTGCCTCTATGTTTTTATTTATTCATACAATGGGACAGAGCACTTGCACATTAGAGCACAAAAAGAAAATGTTTGTCCAAGAAAGGTATGTAGTTAGTTATTAATTAATTAGTAGTAAAAATGTTAAACAATTATCATTTTTATGTTATATTTCTTAAAATCCGCTCCGTCGAGACACAAGTGCTTTGCACGCGCTCTTATGGTCATGGACTTCTCTATAACTCGTCAACTCATATGAGACTGTACAATTCAAAATGGTTGCGGATGGGTGATGATTTCATGAAAGATGGTAACTGATTTGATTTCCTTACCACAGGTTTTCATCCTCGGAATTGTGCTCGGTGTAATAGCGGCCATTGTGCTGGTAGGACTGGCGCTGCTGATGTTGTGGAAGATGGTCACCACGATACACGATAGACGAGAGTTCGCGCGTTTCGAAAAAGAACGTATGATGGCAAAGTGGGATACGGTACGTGACCAAAATTCATTTCTACTTTAAACATTTTGCATACAACCATTTTTTCAGAAATACATATACGATGGCCTTGACATGTTCACACTGGCAATGGTAACAGAGAGGTCCCTCTCTTATATAAAAAGAAATAAGTAGTCACGGTTTTATATATATTCATTTAATTTGTGCATTTTAGAAGTTTATTGCTGCGTACAAACTTACGCAACGTAACATGCAATGTAATATGAAATGAAAGAATTTGCCAACCACATTAGTATAATGTATCATGCAATATAACACACTCTGTAACAAATTTTCATAGTCCGGATGCGAACTGTGCATTTTATGCGCACGCTACGAGCATTAAAAGTCGCACTCAGAGCATTCCGTGATTTGTCGGTATTTCTAACGAACACAAAAGGCGCGCAGTAGGGATGGGCAAGGGATAAAATATATCGATATATATCGAATCGATATTTTAAAACTCGATATATATATGGCGTGATAAATATCGATATATCAGCATCATTTGCATGATGTAAGGATAGGGCCCAAAATTTAAAAAGACTGACGGTTGGACGACGAAGAAAACACGACAACCACACATAAATGCGTCTTTAGTTCCTTTTGTTGTTTCATGTTTTGTCCATTAATACAACATTTTAAAATATATCGAAATTGATACGAATTCGATACTCTAAAATAAATATCGATATATCGCGTTTAAAAGCGCAAAATATCGATGATATATATCGATTAGTGATGCAAGGAATACGAATACGAATATTCGTTTTCGCCGAATAGTAGACAATTACCGAATATTCGTATTCGGTGAATACTAATCACGAATATTTAAAAACTAATATTGTTGTACGCAACTCTAACTCTATAAATAAAAAGGGATACCGTCGTTTGTTCAGTGAACTAGCTCCAAGGTTTGTTTTTATTTAAATGCTATATTTGTCCCGCGACTTTTCCCGCGCAGAAGTTGGTTTTAGTAACTTTTCCCCTCCCATGGGAATTTTATTTATCGGGATAAAAAGTAGCCTAGCCTATGTTTTAATCTGAATTAAGGTGTATAAGCTATCTACATTCCAAATTTCAGTCAAATCCGTTCAGCGGTTGTACATACACACATAATCACAATCACTTTCGCATTTATAATATTAGTGGGATACTCTTTCAACTTTCACACAACCGTTTTGAATTTCTGACTGTTATTTTTTCATCATCATCATCATCATCATCATCATCATCATTACAGCCTTTCATAAGTCCACTGCTGAACATAGGCCTTCCCCAAGGAATGCCACAAAGCACGGTCCTGAGGCACCTGCACCCATCGACTTCCTGCATGCCTTACCAGGTCGTCACTCCATCTCGTGGGGGGTCGCCCTACACTTCGCCTACCGGTACGAGGCTGCCACTCGAGAACCTTTCTTCCCCATCGGTTGTCGGTTCTTCGAGCTATATGGCCGGCCCACTGCCACTTCAGCTTACTAATCCGTTGGGCTATGTCGGTTACTCTGGTTGTATTGCGGATATCCTCATTTCTAAGTTTATCACCCAGAGAAACTCCGAGCATAGCCCTCTCCATAGCTTGCTGAGCGACCTTGAGCTTCCTCATACGGCCAGCAGTGAAGGACCACGTCTCAGTTCCATAGGTCATCCCTGGTAACACGCACTGGTTGTACAATTTCGTTTTAAGGTTTTGAGGTATGCTGCCACACTCGGTCTTCAGCTTTGACAGTTGGCTCTTTCTGGCAGACAGATCTTTGGCAGACTTTGGAGCCTTGGTTCCGCTCGATCGCTTCTTCAATACAAGCTGTATTGAAGTTGCGTAAGTCCCGCCGCATGCATTTGGAGATCTGTCTGTTCAGTTGCCTGTATGCTGTCAAATCTGTTGAAGAATGTAGCTTCACGAGGCACGAGGGGGACGGAGCGTTGACTTCATTAGACGAGACCTCTCCAACTTAACGTTTAGGTTCAGTGTGCCTCTGACTATTCGGTGATTGCTACCAGTATTCACCCTCGCGATCACGGAGTCATCACTGAACAATTGTCGTCTGGTTGTCATAATGAAGTCAATCTCATTTTTTGTCGAACCATTCCATTGTTGTTGTTATTTTTTACAGACATAATATTACATCCAGAACCCACCTTACAGAAAAAATCTGCAAATTTTGTTTTTTAAATAAAAAATTGCCTATTGTTAATTTTAATTATTAGCACAATAGAAAATATTCAAATAGTTTTTATTTTAAAGTTGTCTAAAAATTACTTTGCGTACATGCGTTTTTGACAACTTTAATATACTTCCGCAAAGTAACGCTTGATTGTATTAATTAGTTTTTTATTACCATGGCGAAATATTCGTATTCGTATCCGCCGAATAGTAGGTTTGATTTTCGTATTCGTATTCGTAAAAGTAGTATTCGTTGCATCACTAATATCGATACTTTTGTAAGAACATATCGATATTTCAATATATCGATATTTTTGCCCAAGCCTAGCGCACAGTGTGCTCAAAGCGCCAATGTGGATGGGTTGTGTTGAGACGCGCGCGAATACGACGAACTGAACGCTACTGAAAGCTACTGAAATCTCATGTTAGTCATTAATTCTGCACCAACTCTTTGTCTTTACAACTCTGTACGCTACCAACGTTGAGGTCTTCGGCGTTTTTTTAAGACTTCATACCGTCGCCAATTGGTCGTCACACTCTATTCTCTTCGCGTGTTCTCAGCAGATTGACGCTATGTTCGTTTCACGCGCGCGTTGTCTCCACGCTTATAAAATGCCCCTTTCATGTTATACTGCATGTTATGTTGCGTAAGTCTGTACGCAGCATAATATGTTATAACTATTATTGTTTCGTTCTCGTAGGTGTCATAAAAAGCAACTAAGAAAAGTTCTAGAATATATATCGTTTTCGATATATCGCAGTATAATCATCTCTTTTACGCCCTGTATAAAATACCGTTGACGTGGAGCAGTGTTAAGTGGGAGAAGTTTAGTACTGCGATTTGCCGTTTTTTTACGCGTTTTTGCTTCAAATCTTGTTATAATTAAAAAGTATATATTTTTTTCTTTTATTTAACTGTTTGTTATTATTTTATAGGGCGAGAATCCGATTTACAAACAAGCAACTTCAACATTCAAAAATCCAACATATGCTGGAAATTAAAGATCTCCATAAACATTAACAGTCACGAAGTAAGCAATATGTCATTAAGTCTTGCTATATTTTATTTTAGCCGTAGTAAGGCGTTCGAATCGAAGTCGTCAGTATTTGCTAATATCGAGTAATTTATAGAATTTTTAGAAATGTTTTCGACTGTGTACTACAGAAGTTGAGGCCTTTAAACTGTGCCTTTTGTATTTTAAATACCATTGATACTAGCATTTTGAATAAACTGAAAACTTTATACAGTTTAATTTTAAAATAAAAATCATTTTGTCTCAATAATTGAGGTCTGTTCTAATCTCATGATATATACATATGTATAATCAGTACGCTTTTGTACTTATGTGTGAGTGTATTTCGTATGTACTTATGGTGTGTAATTTGGATGTAATCAGTTAGACGTTATGGAATATCGAAATGTGTAAATTAATTATTAATTAACGACCTCAATATATTTCGATTCGTCAATAATAATAGTTAAATGTTATTCATAACCAAATGTACAAGAAGATATTACATTTCGTATTTTGATATGGATATTTGACATTTATATTATGTTTTCTAAGAAAACAATAGTTCGTACTGTATAATTTTAAATTTCAATCGAGCACATGCGTTTTATACATTTCTTTTAAATTTAGAATTTATTTACTTGGCGTAATGTGGTCGTTAATTGATTCTTTTACACGTATTTGTCAATAAATTCATACTGAAGCCCCAGCTGTGTTATTTTTTATTTATAGTAGAAATATTATAGTAGCTTAACCCTTTCGCTGTCCCGTGCACTAAATATAGGTCATTGCTATTGTCTTACTATTGTGTCTGAAAACTGGACAGTCAAAGTGTTAATGTAGTATATAAATATGACTGGCTATACAGATACAGGTGCCGATTAGTGTGTTAGTGTTTTAGTTCGGCTATAATAATCATGGTATTAACATATATACATAAATACACACGTGTGTCTGTAAAAACTAGCATTATGTATTTAATATATTATTTATTATTACATTTTTACATAAATATATATTATGCGTATGTGCTTTTATCACTGCCAATGTATTAAAATATTCCATCATGCAAGAATCTAATTCCACTAATACATAGCTGTTCGTTAATGTTGTTGAATCATAAAATGTATCTAAGAGGTCAGGTAGACAAAAATTAAAAACAAAAAAATGTTTAAACGTGTTTATATTTTTTACTGTCTCTTATCTGAATATATATAGAGTAAACAATACATATAGAGGTGACATAAACAAAACATTCGCAAATATAATTACATTTGGGAATTTTATTTTAAGACTATAAAAATAATGATGGAACCTGGACTGGTGTACATAGATAGTATTGATACTTTGAAATACTTGGAGTCGTTGTTACATTTTTGCAACATGCAATAATAATAGCAAACATATTTTCTGATGGATAATGTTTTAATAACCATAAAAATTTAGATTTTATAGACAAATTGTCTAGAGTGAACTTTGTAAAACGTGAACAATTGCCGTATGTACCGCGTGGTGCCTTAAGTAACCGTAAAAGTAACGTTTAGTGCCATTACTAATAGAATAAAGAAGAGTGTTTATTATTTATTTATTTCGATTAATCCGGACGGTTAAGCATAGCTTTTTAAGTAACCTTATTTCTAATCATTAATATAAGAACGATGGATTGATAAAGTTGTTAGAAAATATAATTATTATTTTTTATAAGTTGCAATTTTAATACCATTGTTGGTAATAATTTAAATATGTAACATTTTACGTAATTTGACTATTGTATATAATATGTTTTTTACCGATATGTCTGGATTTATAATTGTGGCCTTTAAATGATGATAATAAATAAAATGTTAACGCTAATTTTGTTGTTTTCTTTGATGCTATATAAATTTAATAATATTATGCAGAAAAAGATAATTATTATCACTATTTACCGTTACCGTTACCGTTACAGCCTATTAAAGTCCACTGCAGAACATAGGCATCCCCTATGGATTCTCTCATAGGGGGAATATTTGCCATAGCTGCCACGCTTGACATGCGGGTTGGCAACCGCAGCTTTTTTAGTCGTTATTAGGAAAACGCTGCTGCCCATCTCCTGATTTCTTTCCCTCTGTCCCCTCTTACGACACCCACGGAATGATATGAGGTAGTAGATATTCTTGCACCGCCACTACACGGCACTATTTAATCTTTAAATATTAACTCACGTGGGATTCTGCTGACAAAGTCTGAAGATGGATTTCTTTCGTCCGAAAAAGCAAACGGGAATCGAAAGTGTCATGTTGTAGGAATAGTATATTTCTGTATTTTATAATAAATTAGCCAGCGTATGACTACAATCTTACTCACTGAAGACTCAGATTAATCGGACGTAAAGATAGTCACCGGCAAGTTATTTCACTCCTGTGCTGTAGCTCCGCATTACGAAAGACGAAGCAAACCTACTGCATAAAATGTTACCCGCTGAATTTAATAATTAACTATAATAATTCAAATGAGTCGATTTTCACGAATTGCTTTAAAACGAAGATACATGATCTCATAAAATATTCTCGAATGTCATGTTATTGTCCCTACTTGTTTGGTTTGTGTTTTGCTTATCCATTCAACTTAATTTTTATGCTTCCCTAGATTTTTCCATATCCCTGAACAAAAGCGATATAAATCTAGACGATGGCGTGAAATTTAATTCGTCGTTCAATTGTTATTGTGAGTTAGAAAAGATTTTTTGTAGGTATTATAAAATTTGCCTTGATTATTGTATAATACATATTTATGTATTTAGTTGTTGTAAATATAGTTTGTTATGACGTTGCATTTACGTCATATACCTAAATACCTCAACATAATCGGATACTTCATGTACGTTCTTACCAGTTTTGCAGTTATTTATTTATATTATGTTAAATTCCGACGTCGTCGATGTGTTCATTTTTATAGTGTGTACATTTATTGTTATATTGTTGTTCTATAGATTGGGTCCACATACCAATACATAACTGTTTATAAGTAGAGTTTTTTTTTATTGTACATGATGTACACTGAAATTAAAAGACGGCCATTGCAATCAAGTCATTTGATCGCTCGGAAGCGCAGTGGTGAAACGTTTTAATACACCCGGTTTAAATCCCGCAAGCAATAAGTATGTACGGGCTCTAACCATTGTTCGGGCTTTGGATGTTCGTCAAGTTAGCTTTCAAGTTAGAAGAACCGCAGCGCAACCAACTAAGAACTACGCTCGAGTCAGTCCAATAGACATGACGCAATATTATACGTCGCAAGGCCTTGGTCACAGATGAGCTCATTTCAGCTGCCAGAAGAGCACCTGAAAGCTCCAAACGAGGAATTGTAATAGGGCTGGATGCTGGGGCAACGCGAGATTTCGCACATAAAAGTTGGACATGTATTTGTCCTTCTTTATTTGTAGAGCGAAGGTACAAGCATGCACCATAGGCGCGTTGCGATGCATCGCAAAAACAGTGGATTTCAGCAGAGACTGGATATTCTATTGATACCCATCTAGGTATATTTAGTGAAAAAAGGTATTTAAGTCCATCAACAAAAGGTCTCCAGACATCGACAATATCCTTTGGAGCGGGTTCATCCCAGTCCAATTTGAGAGACCATAAGGTCTGAATTAAAATTTTGGGAACGATAGTGGACAAGGATAGGAGGCCCAAGGGATCGAAAATCTTGAAAGTTGAAGAAAGTATAGTGCGCTTGGTGACGACGTCAGACTGATCCACTGTAATGGGAAAATTAATGCTGTCGGTCGAAGGACTCCAATCTAGGCCCAGCGTATTTGTAGACTGACTCAATGTCAGGTTGCCGGATGACTGGACAACGTCTGAAGGCAGTAAAGAAGGTAAGTTGGATCGGTACTTACGCAAGTCAAAACCAGCCATAGAAAGAGCCACATGTGTTGATTTCTGTATAGACCGTAATTGATCTTCATTATCGCTAGAAGTTAGTAAGTCATCAACATATATGTCCTCCTGTATGACTGCCTTAATAACGTCATCGTCACACTCCTCGCCCACTTGCCAGAGACACCTGGTGGCAAGGAAACTAGCGCTAGCAAATCCGTAGGTGACCGTGTTAAGCCTGAGTGTTTGTAATGGTTTGTCCTCCGCATCACGCCATAAAATCAGCTGTAGGTTTCGGTCAGACTCATCTATTAAAACCTGCCGGTACATTTTTTCAATATCCGCTGACAACACATAACGATATTGCCGGAACCGGATGAGGATATTGAAAAGAGAGTCTTGAACTGTAGGGCCTATCATTTGAATGTCGTTTATAGACAAACCAGATGAAGTGCGAGCTGATGCGTCAAAAACGACGCGTAGACGTGTTGACTCACTGTCTTCACGAATGACAGGATGATGCGGAACAAAATAGGCAAGCTCAGGTCGGTCTACCTCAGATATTGCTAGATGTCCTAGTTTGCGATACTCCTCAATGAAATCAACATAGGCGGACTTAAGTTCCGGTTGCTTGCGAAAGCGACGTTCCAGGTTTATAAATCGCCGCCTGGCTATGAAATAGGAAGTGCCTAGGCAGTCTGGTTTGTCGATCAATGGCAGCTTGACACAAAAACGACCTTCTTCAGTGCGTTTTGTGTGCTGTAAAAAATGTTGTTCGCAAGCTTTCTCTTGGTCTGTAAGAAGGGGCCTTTTTGGCAAGCTTTCGAGCTCCCAAAACCTCTTCAAATCATTGTGAAGCTCAACTAAAGTATTGTTGCTTTCAATACTTACAAAATTACATTTCACTGGGGAATTTAAATTGAGATTGTCATTTTGAATATAATGCATGGGACCTGCGATAAGCCATCCTAATTTAGACTCATGTAGAATAGGATTTCCTTTGCCTAAAGAGTCCTGTCACGGTCGCCACTATGTTCAGTTAGGGAACATGAATAAAATAGGCGACTCACACGATAGGCAAATTGTATATTTAAAAGGAATGAAAAATACAAAATATTTGGTGGCGTTCGGGTCGCGAGCTATCGGCGAGTGCCGGTCTTAGGCGCGGTGGTGAGAAACCCCCCGCACTTCACATACTCCCCGCAAACACCGTCGGTGCTGTCGTAACGGCGCCGACAATCGTCATCATTACAGCCTTCCATAAGTCCACTGCTGAACATAGGCCTTCCCCAAAGAATGCCACAAAGCACGGTCCTGAGGCACCTGCACCCATCGACTTCCTGCATGCCTTACCAGGTCGTCACTCCATCTCTTGCGGGGGGTCGCCCTACACTTCGCCTACCGGTACGAGGCTGCCACTCGAGAACCTTTCTTCCCCATCGGTTGTCGGTTCTTCGAGCTATATGGCCGGCCTAGTGCCACTTCAGCTTACTTATCCGTTGGGCTATGTCGATTACTCTGGTTCTACTGCGGATATCCTCATTTCTAAGTTTATCACCCAGAGAAACTCCGAGCATAGCCCTCTCCATAGCTCGCTGAGCGACCTTGAGCTTCCTCATACGGCCAGCAGTGAAGGACCACGTCTCAGTTCCATAGGTCATCACTGGCAACACGCACTGGTTGTACAATTTCGTTTTAAGGTTTTGAGGTATGCTGCCACACTTGGTCTTCAGCTTTGACAGTTGGCTCTTTCTGGCAGACAGATCTCTGGCAAAGACTTTGGAGCCTTAGTTCCGCTCGATCGCTTCTTCAATACAAGCTGTATTGAAGTTGCGTAAATCCCGCCGCATGCATTTGGAGATCTGTCTGTTCAGTTGTCTGTATGCTGTCAAATTGTAGCTTCACGAGGCACGAGGGGGACGGAGCGTTGACTTCATTAGACGAGACCTCTCCAACTTAACGCTTAGGTTCAGTGTGCCTCTGACTATTCGGTATTTGACTATTCGCTACCAGTATTCACCCTCGCGATCACGGAGACATCACTGAACAGTTGTCGTCTGTTCGTCATAATGAAGTCAATCTCATTTTTTGTCGAACCGTATTTTTTGTCGAACCATTCCATTGTTGTTGTTATTTTTTACAGACAATATTATATCCAGAACCCACCTTACAGAAAAAATCTGCAAATTTTGTTTTTTAAATAAAAAATTACGTATTGTTAATTTTAATTATTAGCACAATAGAAAATATTCAAATAGTTTTTTATTTTAAAGTTGTCAAAAAATTACTTTGCGTACATGCGTTTTTGACAACTTTAATATACTTCCGCAAAGTAACGCTTGATTCTATTAATTAGTTTTTTATTACCATGGCCAAATATTCGTATTCGTAAAAGTAGTATTCGTTGCATCACTAATATCGATACTTTTATAAGAACATATCGATATTTCAATATATCGATATTTTTTGCCCAAGCCTAGCGCACAGTGTGCTCAAAGCGACAATGTGGATGGGTTGTGTTGAGACGCATGCGAATACGACGAACTGTACGCTACTGAAATCTCATGTTAGTCATTAATTCTGCACCAACTCTTTGTCTTTACAATTACAACTCTGTACGCCACCAACGTTGAGGTCTTCGGCGTTTTTTTAAGACTTCAGACCGTCGCCAATTGGTCGTCACACTCTATTCTCTTCGCGTGTTCTCAGCAGATTGACGCTATAGGCATGAGACCGATATATCAAAACGTAACTAATAACGTTATGTTATCAAATATCATATCATATCGATAAACCTAAGAACATAACCGTTATCACATATCCAACCAAAACCCAAAATCAACTAACCAACGTACGAAACTTAAAACGCAAACTGTAACAATATGCCAAAAACCGAAAACGGCCCAAAACCAAAACTAACCGATGTCCTTTGAACCTTTGATATTCGTTGTTTCTCGTTCTAGCGACACTATCATAAATACGTATGAAAGAGATGAAGCGAATATAGATTTCGTTGCGATGTTTTGGTCGTTATCATAAAACGGTGCACGTAGTGAAATATAATTATAAGGTTCTAAACAATAAGGTCGAATTTTAAATGGTTAAAATTGCCTATTTTTTTTTAAGTTTGTGTAGTTGAGAGAGTTGTCAGATTTAAATGATCTTTAGGACATTAGGCACTAGACTTAGATTTGTTTCATCACATTATATTTGGTTTAGGCAACTTCTGTTTATGTGAAAGTTAGAATTTGATTTTTTTTCAAACGTAACAATTACACACTTGATATTTGTCGCGTGTGCCGTTCACTATGAATCTATCTGTAAAATTATTAATTTTTGACGTTGCGTTTGTGCATTTATTTATAATATTTGTTTGCATTTTGTACATTTGTTTTAAATCTTTCCTGTCAGTCCTAAGCCTAGTTAAGTATATGAAGATAAATCGCTAACTTAAATAATCATTATAAAAAATAATGATTATTAATATAATAATAATAAATAAACTATGTAGGTACCTATAATAATTTAATTATATAAATTATGTTTACTACTTATGAATACAGTTTAATTATAGACTTCCAAATCAAACTCTGATCCTACGTCTCACTTTAAAAAAAATATGGGTATAAGCATTATAGACATAAATGAGAATAGAAAGAATGTAATTTTAGACATTTATAATACTATATTACTGCATAACAATCATAAATTATATATTAACATACATGTCTAAATATTCTAAACTAAAATAATCGAAGTAATTCGTAAAATATATGTTGCACTCGTTCTACGGTTTTAAGGCATAGATGACTCTCAAAAATAATTAGGTGACGAAACGAGGAAAGTTTCTTCTGTGCTTTTATAGATGGCGTAGGGATTACAAATTACTGAAAACTACACTAGAGGGCGCTATCACCTAGGTTAAGTATTATTCAGTAATCAGTATTATTTCGTACATATTTCAATAAAATTAAAAGGAAATCAATTTAATTTAATTTAAATATTATGTAACTAATTTGTTTTAAGTAATTATTTATTATGTTTGTTTGAGAAAACCATGGTGTGAATTGCTTCATTCTACATACATTGCTTATTCTATATATATATATATATATATATACCGGCCTATTTCAAAACTTTTCTAGCATGATTTAGGCTTCGGTATAAATAATAAATACCCACAGTGGCGCCATCTTTTAATAGATTATATAAAAATATCGGGAAAAATAGTACTTTTACTGTGAGATGGCACTAGTATCAACGTAAAGCAAGCTACTGAGGACATTCATACCCCTGATTTTAGGTTATGTTTCGGTTGTAAACCATTACTACTGATATCGATATTTAAAAACGGTTTTCAATAACGATATGAAAACTAAAAATCAGTTATGTAACCGTTGCAGCCAAAATCTGAAAACGCCCATGCTTATGACGCTATGTTCGTTTCACGCGCGCGTTGTCTCCACGCTTATAAAATGCCCCTTTCATGTTACACTGCATGTTATGTTGCGTAAGTCTGTTCGCAGCATAATATGTTATAACTATTATTGTTTCGTTCTCGTAGGTGTCATAAAAAACAACTAAGAAAAGTTCTAGAATATATATCGTTTTCGATATATTGCAGTATAATCATCTCATTTACGCCCTGTATAAAATACCGTTGACGTGGAGCAGCGTTAAGTGCGAGAAGTTTAGTACTGCGATTAGCCGTTTTTTTACGCGTTTTTGCTTCAAATCTTGTTATAATTAAAAATTATATATTTTTTTCTTCTATTTAACTGTTTGTTATTATTTTATAGGGCGAGAATCCGATTTACAAACAAGCAACTTCAACATTCAAAAATCCAACATATGCTGGAAATTAAAGATCTCCATAAACATTAACAGTCACGAAGTAAGCAATATGTCATTAAGTCTTGCTATATTTTATTTTAGCCGTAGTAAGGCGTTCGAATCAAAGTCGTCAGTATTTGCTAATATCGAGTAATTTATAGAATTTTTAGAAATGTTTTCGACTGTGTACTACAGAAGTTGAGGCCTTTAAACTGTGCCTTTTGAATAAACTGAAAACTTTATAGAGTTTAATTTTAAAATAAAAATCATTTTGTCTCAATAATTGAGGTCTGTTTTAATCTCATGATATATACATATGTATAATCAGTACGCTTTTGTACTTATGTGTGAGTGTATTTCGTATGTACTTATGGTGTGTAGTTTGGATGTAATCAGTTAGACGTTATGGAATATCGAAATGTGTAAATTAATTATTAATTAACGACCTCAATATATTTCGATTCGTCAATAATAATAGTTAAATGTTATTCATAACCAAATTTACAATAAGATATTACATTTCGTATTTTGATATGGATATTTGACATTTATATTATGTTTTCTAAGAAAACAATAGTTCGTACTGTATAATATTAAATTTCAATCGAGCACATGCGTATACATTTCTTTTACATTTAGAATTTATTTACTTGGCGTAATGTGGTCGTTAATTGATACTTTTACATGTATTTGTCAATAAATTCATAATGAAACCCCAGCTGTGTTATTTTTTATTTATAGTAGAAATATTATAGTAGCTTAACCCTTTCGCTGTCCCGTGCACTAAATATAGGTCATTGCTACTGTCTTACTATTGTGTCTGAAAACTGGACAGTGAAAGTGTTAATGTAGTATATAAATATGACTGGCTATACAGATACAGGTGCCGATTAGTGTGTTAGTGTTTTAGTTCGGCTATAATAATCATGGTATTAACTTATATACATAAATACCCACGTGTGTCTGTAAAAACTAGCATTATGTATTTAATATATTATTTATTATTACATTTTTACATAAATATATATTATGCATATGTGCTTTTATCACTGCCAATCTATTAAAATATTCCATCATGCAAGAATCTAATTCCACTAATACATAGCTGTTCGTTAATGTTGTTGAATCATAAAATGTATCTAAGAGGTCAGGTAGACATAAAAATTAAAAACAAAAAAATATTTAAACGTGTTTATATTTTTTACTGTCTCTTATCTGAATATATATAGAGTAAACAATACATATAGAGGTGACATAAACAAAACATTCGCAAATATAATTACATTTGGGAATTTTATTTTAAGACTATAAAAATAATGATGGAACCTGGACTGGTGTACGTAGATAGTATTGATACTTTGAAATACTTGGAGTCGTTGTTACATTTTTGCAACATGTAATAATAATAGCAAAAATATTTTCTGATGGATAATGTTTTAATAACCATAAAAATTTAGATTTTATAGACAAATTGTCTAAAGTGAACTTTGTAAAACGTGAACAATTGCCGTATGTACCGCGTGGTGCCTTAAGTAACCGTAAAAGTAACGTTTAGTGCCATTACTAATAGAATAAAGAAGAGTGTTTATTATTTATTTATTTCGAATAATCCGGACGGTTAAGCATAGCTTTTTAAGTAACCTTATTTCTAATCATTAATATAAGAACGATGGATTGATAAAGTTGTTAGAAAATATAATTATTATTTTTTATAAGTTGCAATTTTAATACCATTGTTGGTAATAATTTAAATATGTAACATTTTACGTAATTTGACTATTGTATATAATATGTTTTTTACCGATAAGTCTGGATTTATAATTGTGGCCTTTAAATGATGATAATAAATAAAATGTTAACGCTAATTTTGTTGTTTTCTTTGATGCTATATAAATTTAATAATATTATGGAGAAAAAGATAATTATTGTCACTATTTACCGTTACCGTTACCGTTACAGCCTATTAAAGTCCACTGCAGAACATAGGCATCCCCTATGGATTCTCTAATAGGGGGAATATTTGCCATAGCTGCCACGCTTGACATGCGGGTTGGCAACCGCAGTTTTTTTAGTCGTTATTAGGAAAACGCTGCTGCCCATCTCCTGATTTCTTTCCCTCTGTCCCCTCTTACGACACCCACGGTATGATATGAGGTAGTGGATATTCTTACACCGCCACTACACGGCACTATTTAATCTTTAAATATTAACTCACGTGGGATTCGGCTGACAAAGTCTGAAGATGGATTTCTTTCGTCCGAAAAAGCAAACGGGAATAGAAAGTGTCATGTTGTAGGAATAGTATATTTCTGTATTTTATAATAAATTAGCCAGCGTATGACTACAATCTTACTCACTGAAGACAACTCAGATTAATCGGACGTAAAGATAGTCGCCGGCAAGTTATTTCACTCCTGTGCTGTAGCTCCGCATTACGAAAGGCGAAGCAAACCGTCTGCATAAAATGTTACCCGCTGAATTTAATAATTAACTATAATTAGTGTTGCCCAAAATGAGTCTTGGTCTTGTTCTTGCATTTTTGCAAGACCAAGACCAAGAACAAGACCGCCTAATTTTAGCAAGACCAAGACCAAGACTGACCGTGCAAGATTTGAGCAAGAACAAGACTAAGCCTGCGAGACTTGCGTCTTGCAGTTAGGAATGAGTGTCGTTTCAGGGAGTATAGGAGTTCGGGTATACGCTTATGAAACGCAAAAAATATATAAAAAAAATTTGGAAAATTGGACTTATGCGCATTACGAACAATACCATAAACATACATAGCGAATGAAAATATCCATTAAAAGAAAAAAGAGCATCCCTAGTTTTGACTATCGGCACTTTGATAGTGCGCGGCGTCTTGTTGCCGGATACTGACCTATCAAAGAAATTTTGCAGCTATTCGGAAGTACAAGGTCAAGATACAAGCGCCGGCGGCTTCTATTGATATCGCATACAATCGTCGCCGCCCTGCCGCACGTACAACATTTGACACTGTTTGAATGCCGCCACAGAGTACATGTTTCAAAGAATAAAATAAGTGCTCACGACACGAATACATTATGCTGATCTCGCAAGGAATATTGTAATTAGATAATGGTAAGGATAGGTAGATACCATAATAATTTATTCTAGTAAGTAATTATTATAATATTAACTATATGGGTTTATAATAATTACTTACTATTATTATTATTACGTAATAGATAAACATGTTCAATAAGTTCACTGCAAATCTCGATTTTTGGAAGTGTGTGTTTTTGAACACTAAGTATTCGAATATGTTGTCACCCATTTGATAAATATTGTAGACACTTTTAACACACTTGAAACGTGTAAACATTTTGTACAATGCTAATCGAATAATATAAAAAGTGTGCATGTGTGTGAGAACCGTTTAAAGAAATTGATTGCATCGAATTGATGTAAATAATAGTGATTTGCACAATTTTAATGGTAGAAATAAAAATAAAATCACAATACCTGCTTTCCGGTTACACAAAGTATATAATGCGTTCTTGGGTAGCGATATACGCTTTTATAATAAGATTCCAAAAGAAATGTTAGATCTTTCACCTTTTCAATTTAAGTCAGACAAAAATGCTTGCAACTGACCTCTCGTACTACACAGGACTAACTAGAAATTTCTAAACCGATTTGGTATCTACATATACATTTGACATTTTATGTTTCACTTATCGCTAACATAATTATAGTACTATTGTAAAAAATTATTCAGAGTCGAAAGTCTAATGGTTGAAGTGTGATTGAAAGATGCGATCAAATGTTTACTAGACTTAAATAAACAATCCGTCGGAGTACGAACATCAGTTAGTGATCATAGGTTGGTATTTTTTTAACATAAACAATTGTGTATTGTCAGCTTTTTTCGGCACTAATACCTACCTACAGTTGTGTCAAGCGGCGGCGGCGTTAACTCTTCTCGAACGTGAGCGAATAGGTACCTACTGTGATAGAAAGACCCTAAAAACCTATACCTACGTGAGCGACTGCGTGCGTTCGTGGATTTATACTGTGAGCACAAAATTGTTCCGGAATTAGTATAACTAATTTAATAAATAATCTATGCATAAACATGTTTAATTCAAAAGTCAGTGTATGTATAATGATTATAACATAATATACTTATTGGGGTGTCTAAGGGTGTGCGTTAATTACGTTATATATTGTATATATATATATATCGGAAATGACAACAGCAGATCCCACTTCTGATGTCGGAGATTTACAACAGAGGATTCCAATTTTGATCTTGGAAATACATCAGGATAGCGTTAATTGTTAAAAATAATAAAAGTGTGAGAGCGGATGTTCAACTTGCTCTCTTGCTTACGCAGTTTAATCATTATCAGTAATAAGACAACGTAACGCACTATACATTCAGTATAGTGAAATTACAGTTCGCCCACACCGTAACACGTCTCTGCCACAATTACACACCAGTGTAACGTGAGGTACGTAATTACATGATAACACCAAAATATGTAAACCAACAGCAACACTACTTATCTCAATGTAACACTGGGCAGCCTCTCAGCAACACCAATTCTCCTTGCCTGCACTAGAAGAATTACAACAACGAACAGAACCACGACACTATCTTAGCACTAGTCGAATGACCACACTTGTTGAATGACTTGAGCGAACTCTCCAGCGCACGGCACCTACAGTGAACTTTATATTACAGACACAAGAGGGGGTTTCTAGATATACCCTCCCTTCTACCTCGATCCAACCGGGTATTTTATAGACGCTCCGACATATATATATATTATAGTGTTAGATTTAGTTAGTTAGTTATGATTATAGTGTTAAATATGTATTTATAATTCACTCATATTTTCATTTGTTTTTATAATCGGCGAGACACATGATTTACTGTTTTATTTCAGTCTGAAAATAGCAGTGACAACATCACGACAGCTACAGTTGATTGAATGGTTAAAAAATATCTTCCCTTCTCATTTTTCGATGACGAAGCTACCCAAGTACATTTTCGATCAATTTGCCCAAATATGGTGTTTCCTAAAAGGTCCACACTTAGAAGGAAGGTCAAAGAACGGTTTGAAGAGCTTCAATTGAATCTTAAGAAACGACTACAACAATTTTCATCTAAATGTCATTTACCATTGATGGATGCACGTCAATTGCTGGTAGGAGTTACTACGGGGTCACTATTCATTATATAGACAACGAACTGGGGAAGATATTGCAACGATTTTCCACGAATGTTTATTAGAATATGACATAATTGATAAAATACAGGGTATCACGGTCGACAACGCAACTGCAAATACCAAATTTATGCATGAATTGGACAAACAGCTGCCACACTTTGATTCAGACAATCAACATTTCCGGTGCTTTGCTCACATTTTGAACCTTGGTGTACAAGATTTATTAAAGACCTTAGCATTACACAGTGAAACTGACAATAAGGGACAAGAACAGCAGTATGAAGACAATGAAGACGAAACTGAGGAAGATGAAGAATATGCGCCAAATATTGCTGACTCACGTACAGCTATAACAAAATTACACAGTATTTCCAGTAAAATAAAAAGAAGTGAGATATTGAAGAGGAAGTTTCAGTCTGCTTGTGAAGCAGCTGGCGTGCCATCAAATCTGAACCCCATACTCGACTGTCCAACGAGATGGAATTCCACACATGATATGATTGGATTTGATTTAAAAGTGAGAACTGGCATTAAAATTTTGTGCACTTCTGTCACCGAATTGAATGATTTTCAAATCACAGATAGTGAATGGCAAATACTCGAAAAAATACATAAGTTTCTAATAAACTTTAAACTTCTATCAACGAAACTTGGTGGAGAAAAATATGTTACATTACCGCTAGTCATTGTATCATTCAATCTCTTGCTCGATAAAATTGAATCCATGGTAAAACAATTAGATGAGAAACCTAATCGATCCGAAGTGGATGAAAGGCTCATTCTGGGTTTTCAAGCAGCTCGAGACAAAATGCTTAAACATTATAAAAAGAGCAACTGGATTTATTGTACCTCTTTAATTTTAGACCCATGGCATAAAACTCAGACTTTTGACATGACATTATGGGGGAAGCAAATTAAAACAGAAAGCCTGCGCAAATTTAATGAACTTCATAAAGAATATAAAAGTCAACACTCAGTGAATACATCTCTAGAATCACCAAGAAATGAAAAGAAAATATGATGAAGATGAAGACGTAATAGACTTTGAGAAACTGTATGCATGTCCCTCGACGTCATCTAGATCTGGATCTTTTCATCAAGGCTTAGTTATAGACGAGTTGGAGGAGTACCTAAGTAAACCCAGAGCCGCCAGTTCGGAAGACATTTAAGAGTGGTGGAGGACGCAAGTAGTGTAGTTGTACCACTTCTAGACCACCTGAGTCAGACGTGGTTCAACGACGTTCGTCAACGCCCGATCCTAAAAAAAAAAAAAAAAAAGGTTTTGGCATGCTCTGATCACGAATCCGCGGTCCATTTTTGTGTAGAATGCACGGTTCCAGAGATGTGTAGATCAATTAGCTAATATCTAATTGATATCCGGTAAGGGCCTCCACCGTCATTAGCGTCCCATTGTTCCTATTTCTATTGTTCTATTGTTCCTTAATCACCTTCATTGCAGCGTGTGCGTCGACTATATCAGTGCTATTGTTTATTATAATTCTTTGTTTATACAACGCTAATCTGAATCATCAATAAAACACATTACATAATTTTGTTACAATTTTTATTTATAAAATACAAAATCTTATTAATTATTATCTATAAAATAGGAGCGAAACATCTCATCCACTAAAATATCGTTGTACAATGTGTTCCTTGTAAATATACTCGTAAAACTATGTATTGAACATCCTTGAAACTTGTATAGCAAATACATTAAGCAATATTCGCCACAAACTGAAGTCCACTCATTCTGAATCCTATCAACATTCCAGTTCCATCTTTTACAATTCCTTTTTAAAAACTCTAGATGATATCGTACAGGTGATCGTCCATATGAATCAAAATATTGACCGACGTCATTCGTATCGATATATAAAGCTACCCAATGTGACCCTGGTTTATCATCTGTATCCAAATTACATATTATATACGTTGGTACGTGGGTATACATAGGCAGTCTATTAGCTGCATAAACATTATTTTCTAGACTGGGGTGAATCTTTTTCAGATGTTGTTGTACATCTAGTGTATCCATGATATTACTGCTATTAGTAGATTATTACAGTACCTAGCTACTCAATGAATAACATAGGAATGGTCAGTTATAGTGATTTCTACATATTAAATTGCATTTTTGTGTTATAAAAATCGTACTTGAGTCATTGATCACCAAACAAAACACAATACGAAGAAATGTTGAGATAGGCAACGTAAATGTGAGATAAACTGATATGTTTCTAAATATTAAATTGCATTTTTGTGTTATACAAATCGTACTTGAGTCATTGATCACCAAACAAAACACAATACGAAGAAATGTTGAGATAGGCAACGGAAATGTGAGATAAACTGGTTGACGCATAAAGTAATTATCAACTCATTACGGAAATACTTTAGATTAGAATTTTTACGTACTGGTGGTATATAAGACCAACAAATGCAGTCATCGAGTTAGTGTACGGTCGTTTGGCTACAGTGGATCTATCAATAGTACATTTTGTGTTACTTCAATACACCAAAGGCTATGGATGTAAGTGTTTATTCTATTGACTAAATTACTTTTTTTCTGTTATTTTCATGTGTGTGTATTATTTTATTTAAATATTGTGTATGTATATGATTAAGCCGTGGTAACTCAGATGGTTAGCGCTAGCTGTAAATTTCACAGTACGCGACCCGGGTTCGATCCCCGCCAGCACCAATTAAATTGTTAATAGCAATTTTAAGTGCTTATTACCACGTGCTTGGTGGTGAAGGAAAACATCGTGAGGAAACCTGCATGTCTGAGAAAATTTCGAAGGCATGTGAAGTTCGCCAACACACATTGAGGGAGCGCGGCGGACATTTCCTTGCTCTAAAACCCTCTCAGAAATGAAAGGAGGCCTATGTTCAGCAGTGGACTTTAATAGGCTGTAACTTTAACTTTTTTAACTTTTATGATTAAGTGTTAACAAATTGATATTAACATGATAACTGTGTTGTTGCAGAAATCATTGAGCTTCGATGAAGATACCTATAAACAGTATTACTACTCGCCACTCTCCCCTCAAGAAGAGAGTGATAACCTCGTCATTAATAATAACACATGCGATGGTGGAAAAAGAAAATCGCAATCGATTGATCATTTTTTTGAAGCTGAATCAAAAATAAAAAAGAGGAAGCTGTTATCATCAACCGTAGCACGAGCCGCTAGAGATGGTGTATCATACATTTCTACTAATTCTGACGACGGAGACCAAGCGACGCATCTCATCAAAATTGAAATGTACGATATGAAGAAGCTATCCAAGATTCCAACTACTGATCATTGGAAACATGCTTCCACTAGAATTAAATATTACGTAAAGACTAATAAGGATAGCATCTACGACAACACAAACGCCCTCGTATACAATATAACAAAGACAATAGCAGAAAGTGAAAAAGTTAAAAAATACTTTTTTAACAATGACAGTCATTAGCTGATCATTAGTGAATGTGATTCTGTTTACTTCAATTACAGGAAGACAAGAGCGGAAGGAAGAGATGAGTGTGGCATACGTGTACAAAACACATCATTGAATAACAAAACTACAACACTGAGTGGAGAAGAAAACGAGAAGAGTATGCAGTACTCAAGAGCTGAATATCCATTCTTCAGTTCAAAATCTAGCCGTTTGCTTAGTTTCGAAAACTGGCCTCTAGTTATGCGACAGAAACCTGAAGATCTTGCAGAAGCTGGTTTCTTTTATACTGGCCATGCAGACGGGACCAAGTGTTTCCATTGTGGTGGTGGTTTAAAAGATTGGGAAGATGATGATGATCCTTGGCAGCAGCATGTTCAGTAGTTTAGTCAGTGTGCTTATGTAAAATTTCAACTCGAACAGTGTTTTGTATTAGATTAAATAGAAGATTTATAAAGAAATAAAAAAAATATATTGCATACAATTTGTTTTATTTAATTTTATAACGTTTCACATAGTTACATACACACAAAATGCATTACACATAACACATAAAATCTAACACACAACACATATTATAACCTTAACTACTATAGTCTACAGTAACATTTCTGTTTTTATCTATCTCAATAATATTATCAAACTCAGCATAAACTATACAGTTAATTGTTTGTATTAATGAGGATTCAAATCGTACTTCTATTCTTACACTACCATGCTTTATGAGATTCCAATGAGTTGATGAGTTAGCTGATAAATCAGGAGTTAAGTCAAATGCTAATAGACAGTAACCTTTGCCATACTGTTCACAAGAGATTCCATTTCCTTCATTAAGAAAGTGAATACCAGTTCCCGAGAATAGAGTATGATATGCTGATGTAAATATGCTATTATTAAAAGATGGTTGCAAAGCTTTTGAAGGTATTTGTTGACCATCAATATATAAGCTGAAAGAATTAATACCATAGTTTTCAAAGTTAAATGGATTTTTAGTAAGGGAACCATTAAATGCAGAATTGTTCACAAATCCAATTATACATCTTTTCGGTACCTGTCCTAAAAATATATTATCAAGAGTTTTTCCTTGAACACCCGAAGGAATTGTTAAAACTTTTACTTCAGCTCGAGTAATAGGATATTTAGCAGTGGTAGAAGCTAAAACTTTTTGATGTGCGAGTAATACACTTGGATTAATTCGTGCTCGTCGAACAATAAGAGTTGCGTCCGTAATACAAACTTTAAACTTTACATCGTTTGATCCAACAATTAAATTAAAACTCTCTCTTGATCGAACCAATTTAACACTCATTTCAACACCATTAATTAAAAATTTATCTTGGTTAAAAATGTCACCGTGAAGATGACCAATCATTTCTATTTCCTTACTTTCACTAATCAATTCCTGTCTTTTAACAAATCCTATGTTTTTACCATCTGTAGAATCCATTTTTCCTGCTGTATCCTCATACCAAAGACTACAAGTAAGATGAGATTGTTTAGCAGCAGGGGCATAGTTTAAAAGGGTTTCCATGTATGCTCGATATGCATAGGTATTATTAGGTGGTGATACAAGTTTTTGGTTTAAATAAACATCAAGTTGACTAAAAAGTGAATGCAGCCAATTATTTACAGGTGCTACTATTGTAGTAGATACCAAGTTAGTTGAATCTTGATTTAATACTTTTGCCTTTATGTGGAGTAATGTATGAGACAAATCTATGTAGTCATCGCCGGTCCCAGGAACTTGAAACTCGATAGGTCCATCATCACCAAGAGATGAAATTGGTTTATAATGAATCCACAATCCATTTTCAATGCTAGTTTGTGTAGACGGTAGTGCAAACAAATCCAATTCTGACTTAACGCACTCGCAAGAATGATTATGAAGGAAAGACATATTTAGTTTGAAAATATATCTTTGATATTTTTTGGTTTTAGACTTAGAAGTTTTTTCGCAGCTTTCACTTTAGCAGTTAATGGTGGAATGAACGATGTCAATCGTTTTCTTTTAGTTTTATACCCAGATCCAGTCATGTTAAATTAATCAATTTTCTCATCAGCCTTTCGTTTTAAATTCGTACTAACTTGCTTTAGACGATCTTTTATTGAGGCTTCCATAGGACGAGCTTGAACCATATCCGATAAAAGTCCTACTCCAGCGCTTAATGCCTCCTTACCAATCACTCGAGCACCACTTGAAAGTAAAGGTAAAACTGATCTGAATAACCCCCCTAAGAAGCTCCCAATACCATGACCGCGTTGATATGGTGAACCCTTATAAATTACTCCAACTCCTGATCCAGCTTGATGTGTATAATAATTTTCATATGGACATTTATGATGATCACGAAGAGAATTCATTATTATAATTTTCGGAAATGTAGTTTAATACACACGGTTCCAAACTGGAACGGTATTTTTTGTCCTGTACTCGATCTTATAACTATTTCCAACGTATCGAACTCTCTTCGCATAACAGGTAAGTAGTGAGGTTGAGAGAAAACGTGCATTTTATTTGCACCATAAATGTATTTTGTAGGATCTAATGAAATGACTCTTAATAAAGGAGTCATAA